GCCCAAGTTCTCAGCTTACGTTTTTAAACACCAAAGGGTCTGGGGGGCCCTCACATTGTAAGCGCTGAGAGGTCTGGGGGGCCCTAGTGGTTAGCTCACGCTATAAGCACCCAGGGGCCTAGGGGTCAGCTTGCGCTGTGCACACTGAGGGCCCTGGCGTTCAACTTCCTGCTGCGGATACAGCTTAGTTTGCAGACGCCGGGATATTGCATGTCAGGAATCTTATCCTTCACAGGTGGGATCAGATCACGAAGTTTATGTACTGTGTTCAATTGGACTTGGATCTTGTGTTTGTTCATGATTTTGGAAATATTTTGGTTACCCCTGCTATGTATGGCAAGGTGATAGTTTTGATTGGATCCTCAGATGGCTCCTTCCAAACGTGAGGAAGGAGCCATCTGACTATGCCTTTAAAACTGAAAACTACTTACCTGCAGTACCTCTATTTAGAAAAGAGGAGGGGGGAGATGAAAAATAATGGATGCGGTCTGAAAGCCACTGTAAGCGTAATCAATCAATTAAGACCCGAAATGGTTTAGCAAATCCTTCCAATGATTGCTAAGCCAGAATACATCTTCTCGGTTGAAATTGTCTCTGTGTTTGTATATGTGGATAGCCTCATGAACAAATCTCTCATGGTAGCCAGATGGCTTGCAAAGAACCTCTGTCTTGGAGAAGTCAATGTCATGTGAACCGACTGAATTATAACAGTGATCTGCCACGGCCGAGGTGTTGGTCCTACCGTGTTTCAGGTCTCCTTTGTGTTCACGAATGCGGTTCGAGACATGTCGTTTGGTTTCTCCAATGTAACTACTACCACAGAGGCAACTTAGTTTATAGACGCCAAGGTACTGTATGTCTGGAATCACATATTTTACAGATGGAACCAGATCACGGATTTTATGTAATGTGTTGAATCGGACCTGGATCTTGTGTTTATTCAAGATTTTGGAGATCTTTTTTGTGATCCCCACAATGTAGGGTAAAGTGATGGTTTTGAAAGGCTCCTCAAGAGGATCCTTCTTCATGGTTGGAGTGATAGCTTTGCGGATTGTGTAGTCATACCTCTATTTAATTACACTATCGAATACATAATTTACACCCCTCTGTCAATCATCGTGTTTCTCGGTGTGGATTTGTGAACACACTTTGTAAACAGCACATTAAATAGTACGCGTTTTCAATGCGCAGTTCATATTGTAACAAGCGTTTATACCAATGTTACTCTACAGAGTAGTGGGTCACCGCTCCTCTTATCCGCATTGGTATGTGGGGACTATGGCTTAGCCGGACTATTCGTGGTTTCCACAGATGCATACGGACAAGATAAGTATTCTCAAACAGGAGGAATTAACGGTGCAATGCATCTCATCTGTTAAATATCTGCAGGTAATAGGATTGTCATCGATTGGTCCTGGCTGCAGACATTGGTAGGTCACAAATAATAATGAAGATAAGAGGGCAGTTTCACTGTATTATGCATACCGTTATGACAAATAAAGGACTTAAGTCGTGTAGGCAGTTTGAGCAGCTTTGGATAAGACTTATGATCCTGCCTATGATCAAGCATGGAGTGCGTTCGCTTGTTCAGCTCTTCTGCGCATTCGTCCCACCGCGTTTATGTACACGGTGGGACGGAGTCGCCAAAAATAAATGTATCAATGACAATGTTTTTTTTACTTATGTTTATTCGGGACCCCGAGGTCCCGCCATGAGGTTCATATTGTTGTTGTGCTATTGCAATGCACCAAGTGCTGTTCTTCCCCTGGGTCAATAAAAACGAATTCCAGTAATTATTAAACAAACTCTCTTGGTTGTCCCCACACTTTTGTCCCCCGCTCATGCACACGCTGGTGCAGTCGCGACTCGTAAGCGCAATGCCTTTTTCGTTGTTTAAATCAGCAACAATTGTACCGACGTGTGTTGTTTAGAATACACTTTCGCACGCATCCTGTAGTAGTTACACATTTGATTTTTTTAATTAAAATTTTTGGAAACCGCGAATAGTCCAATCGGAGCGGCTGTTGCTGGCCAGCCTCTGACCAATGAGAGGCGCGCTTTTAATGTTGCTCGTGATGGCGCCGGTGCGGTCGCTGTTGTCCGCTTAACGTGAGACCTCCTGATGACGGTAGCTTGTGTTGTGATAGAAACGTCGTAGTGTTTTTTTGTTTGTTTGTTTCATTTTCATGAATTTGAACCTATTTACGTGACTTTACGGAAAGAGCCAAAGAATGTGAGACAAATAATGATGATAATTACTACTTTCGCGATTGTTAAAGTAATTACATAGTTATACTCGTGATAGGTTTGCTTCGTCACGTCCGTTCCGATGCGCTGAGAGAAACACAGTGAGAACGCGTGATCATGAGTTTTAATTAAATGCCGTAATGTTATCGCTGTTTTCATTGGCTGAATGTTCTCATGATCGTTTTTGATATAAATGCTTTCAATTAAAGTGATACATCCGTGCACGTTGAATACGGTGTCGCGGTATGCACTACGGTGCATATGCTGTTATTAAACCCATTGTAGGGTCAAGGGTTGACGTAGGTTAAGCCATCATTGCCATCGCTACAGGGTCATGAAATGGGTACCAGTTTGTGCGAAGTCGTCAGCGGTTGTTGAAGATGGTCCCTGCCACGGAAATGTTTCCACTGGTGGAGATGAGTGCCACACAATGCCCGCAGGGGTGCTGGTTGTGGAGGCCGTTTGACCATACTTCACCCCGGCTGGTCAGTGCGGATTTGGTAAAGGCAGACAAAATAGACGTACAGTACAACTCGATTTATACACAACGTCGCCGCCCTATGACAACCTGTTTGTGCATAGTGGGCACCCATCCAGGCACTGTCCAAGCCCAGGTCAAGCTTTGCCTTTGAGGTCCGACCAGATCTGGCGCATTCCAAGTCCGGGTGATTTGTTCATATGCGTAGAGGGTTAGAGTGATGCTGTTTTTAACAGTTATCATCTCGAGGTGGCAAGGTGAGGTCGTGGGTTCGATGTCGATCCTCCCGCCTGTATATTTGGAGTTTACATGTTCTCCCCGTGGTCGTGTGGATATTTCTCCGGATCCTCCAGGTTTTCCCTCCACATTTCCAAACATGTGCTTCGAGTATTTGGCTGCTATACATTTCCACATGATAGGCCACTTCATTGAGCTATCACTTGTGGCCAGGTCGCTTCTGAAAAATAGCTATTTAGCTCCAGTGGGCCTTACCTGGTAAAATTAAATAGCAGTTAAATACTAAAAATAGTTTTCACGGTACAGAAATAATTACGTCAAAAAACTAGTTTTTTTGCAATCCACACGTATTTTCACACAAACGTAGAAAATACATTATTTTGACTCCAGAATCAATCAAATTTGATGTGCTGCGTAAAAGTAGTTGGCTTCCTTTGAATGTTTCATTTACTTTATGAAAGCCACCAACTTTTATTCAGCACACATCAAATGTCAATAATTCTGGAGTCAAAAGAATAAATTTTCTACATTTGTGTGCAAGTAAAAGTGTGTGCATTGAAAAAAAAAATTGTTCACCTCATTTTTTTTTTACGTGCAATGTAATCGAAGAACTGTGTGTTGTCTTGGTGTGGCCCGGGACTTTTGCTATCATTCCAAAGCTGGCATTGTGTTGACAAATCGACAGGAATTTACGTAATCCTGCAATCTCTGCTTGTATGCTTCACCTTGATTTATGTTTTAAATTTTAGCTACTTGGTTACCTTTTCTCTATCTTGCACTCATATCGATTTTTTTTGCATTGTATGTTGTTGATGTAACTTGCTGACCTGCCCCCACTTGACATCCGGAAAGAAAAGCTTCATCGATCATCGGATTTTTACAGGATAAATAAAATAAAGATTCTAGTTTCTGACGTGGCAACATGATTTTCTTGGCTGATGGGTGGTGGAGGGTTACAGCTCTAGTTGACATTGTACCTACACGATCTAACCCAAAAAAAAACAATTGTTAGTCATCACCACATCATGACTACTGCCGTATACCAGAATGGCCATCAAGTTTGCTGATGTTTTGGATAATGTGTCTTTTCCAGAAAAAGAGTAAAAAATGTAATAACATCTACCATATTTTCCTAATTTAAATGTTTCAACAGAAAATTATTCCAAATTCACTGCACACTTACAAAAAAAAACAAGTAGAAACACAAACCCGACACAGCTCATTCTAAATCGTAAGTATTTTTTTAACTTGCACAGAGTTCACTCCTGTAAATGTTACCCATTCCCTGTCTCCACTAAAAATCTAGTTATCTCATTAGGCTCCTCCCTGGTTGTAAATGAAAGTGATGGTTCATATGGCTGGATGTGATTTAACACATCACTTAAAATTTTAACAGTAAATTATGAAGTAAAAGTATTTCGGCAAAATGTTAGCTCCAAAAGATAATCCCAAATGCCCTGACGCCGGCAGCTTTGCTTTAAATCCTTGGTTTGACCCTTGCATTGACCTAAGGGGGTGAAACAGGTTGTAACAGGCAGCGGGGGTTTGATATTTTCAGCCTAACCACCAACGAATGCACAATAAATTAATCCCATATTGATGTGAGCACTTTATGACACCAGCTCCAGGATTAGAAGAACAAAAACAAACAGAATAACGTGTTTTCTCTCCACCTAAAGTGCATTTAATTTAATATGGAGGTCACGTGCATTTTCAAAATATTAAATCAGCGTGGGTCAGGCAAAGAAATGTATCAACATAATTAACAGGAAAAGGGCTGGTCTGCCTGTCCGCTGCTTCCTGTTGAGGTGTGTTAGTGAAACGCCACCTCATTCATGTGCAGCCGCACATATTTAATTCCTGGGCAACTGCACAGATTTTATTCGTGGGACTGAAAAATCTCAAGCAGAGTTGGTTGACAACCTGAAGTGACGAGCTAGCGCGGAGCGAAGAAAAAAATAATCACAAGTCTGCCAAGTAAAATAATGTAGCGGCCATCGCGTCAATGCTTCTTGTGAATGTGTGGTGCCTTCCTCAGGTGATGGACAGGTGAACTTTGAGGAGTTCATGACCCTGCTGGGCCCCAAGCTCACGGCAGCTGACAATCCAGACGGATTCCTGAGCAGTGAGTTTGACACCATCTTCTGGAAGGTAGGGCCTCAACTTCAGCCTGTTCAACCAGAGTTATGGTTAACCAGGACTCGCGTCTCTGAGTCACGTAGAGGTGGGGAGATTAGTTGAGCCTTAAGCCCTCGAAAGATGGGAAGCGTTTGCCAAAAATACGGCTTACCATTTGTGGCACCAGACACGTTTTATACGGCGGAACTTGACTGTGGTTTGTAAAATCTTCAGTTTTAGAAATGTACTTAAAATGTAGCTATGTCTAATGCAATTTATCATTAGAATAAAGATTTAAAGCTGTTGTGATTACATCGATATATGTGCAATAGAAAAAAAATTATTAAAAGTAAGTATTCTAAATCCAATGCAGAATATTGTTCAAAGGAAAATTTAAAGAAATTGCATTCTCGTTAGAAATGATGGGGGGGGGGGGGGGGGGGAAGGCACCCTTCTTCATTTGATAGCTAAAATAAATAAATATTGTGTCACAGTGACTCCTTTTGCACGCGACCTTCCATATAATCCGGCATCAAGCGAACGACCACGAAGACGTTTCTGAAATCGCCCGCAAAATGCACAAGAGCCCTCTTTTTTTTTTTCTAATCCACAAATCTTCGGTCCGTCGTGAAAGCCCCCTCATCCCACTGCAAAGGTCAAGCGAAGGTCCGGCGCAGCTGGCTGTCACTTTACCAGCAGGGGCAGTCGCCGTGTCTCTGTGCAGGCGGCAGGCGGCCTGCTGAGCACAAGATTTTGCCAGACAGGGCAGAAGTAAGAGTAAACGTATATACGAAACGTAGACTTTGTAAATACGTCGGGCAAAGTTTTTCCTGATAATGTTCCGTATTGTGCACGTATATGCCATGCTGTAATGAAGACACACACACACACACGTAGCATCGCAATTTCGGTGCAATTTGTATATTTAAATGGGTAGATTTAAAAAGCCTAAATGGAAGCACGCACGTGCCACTTGGGAGCGCATCTGGGTATGATTTATAGAGATGCGCCAGATCGCTCTGTCCAACTTGGCAGAATGTCACTGCTGTTGTTACATCTTGTGGTGTATGTTATTTACTTTGAAGAGCCACGGTTTAGCTGTCTGAGTAAAACGTCGTGTCTCTCTCAACGTGCAATCAAACTGCTTGGCTTCAATTACACAAAATAGTACCGCAATAATATTTTTCTACGGCATGATGGTTAAACTGTTACATTTCTTAAACGTAATATACACTTAAGTACACACGGTCAATTCTCTCTATATATAATGGCATGAACTTAACTTACCATTACGTGGTGCTTTAAATGAAGTGGCTGATCTCGCATGTCACTGCTGGGGAAGTGTGTGTTACTGTAAACAACGGTTACTGCTCAGAACATGTAGGGCAGTGGTTCTTAACCTTTACTGCAGCCATGCACACCTTTGGTTCTCAATTGTAAAAAAAATGTAGAATGTTAAGAAATACTTAGTGTTTGATGAAATAAAGTAGTTGTGCTTACGTGGCCTTGCTTAATTTGTGTTTTCGATGATTTACCTTCTAAACAAATCTGGCCGTGTCTCGCACCTCCAGAAAGGGCATCTCGCAACCCTGGGGGTTGCGTGCACCGCAGGTGAAGAACCGCTGGTGTAGGGCAACGTGCGATCTTCTTTAAGCTGCAAATCACAGACTTAGTGTACAGACAGAGGACTTCCTTTTGCGCACATCACAGAGTTATATATCCCAGAGACAGACACATCTCCCGGTAGTAAAAAATATATGTATAAGATACAATGCGATGTACGGTTTTCCGATGCAATGTCGAGTTGTACTGCGTGTTCTGTTGGCATAATGCCGGGCGTTTTCACTCCACGTGCCTACGAGCTTCTATAGAAACTGGATGCAGCACAGCTGCAAAGGCCTGTGTAATAGTAAAGCAGTGTATGGTTTCTCTCGATACTTAGTGATAATGTGTTTGGTCATAGAATAAAACAGACGGTGCCACGTGATGCAGCAACTAAAGCTGGCCTTTTGCAGAAAATCTGAGACTGGTAGATATAAACACTTTCACCTCTTATAAAAAAACATTTCCCTGTCATGTATCTGCACAAAGCGTACATGTCATTTATCTCTTTGTGTTATGCTTTTTTTTAGTTTATTTAATATTTAAACTTATATCGTCTACACGTAAGATTTCTGGAAAAAAACATCTATTCGTAGAATAATACTGCTAAACACCAACACGTGACCTCTTGACGAGTGACTAAAGCCAATACTGTATGCAAATTATGATAGTGATATAACTTTGGTATTTGACATTGAGCGACGGCTAGAAATTGATTTGACTCGGACCTACATTCACCTAAGTGACCTTGTTTTGAGGACCATTTAAGTACCCGTGCATTTTGGTGAGAACAAAAATGTATTACCTTGCATTCACAATTAACGAGTCTGTTTTCGCAGCTTCTTGTAATCCCGGCATGGTTTTCCAAGTCGGGTCGCATGTTGGGCATTCGTTCACTGGATATTTAAACTAGATTTCAACTACGCTCTGGTTCTTTCGGTAAAGTCACGTAGGTATAAAACTAAAATAAAATCAATCACGACGTTTCGGGTGCAACACAAGCGTCCATCATCAGGTGGGAAAGCGATGGTCTGCTGCTGAGGCAGGCTGTTTTAAAACAGTATATTTCGACTATTTTTAATTTTACCAGGCAAGGCCCACTGATATATATAGCTCTTTTTCAGGAGCGACCTGGCCACCAATGATAGCTCAACGAAGTGTCTTATCATGTGGACATTTATAGAGGCCAAATACTCTAAACGTGTGTTTATAAATGTGGAGGGAATACTTGAGGATGGTGGAAACAATCCACGCGACCACGGGGAGAACATGCAAACTCCAAATATACAGGTGTCAGGATCGGGATCGAATGCATGACCTCCTGTATATCAGGCGAGGGAGTTAACATCTCCCCACCGCCACGTAGACAACTGCTGACGGCCATCTTCAGGAGCTGAATTGAGTATTCAACTTGAATTGATTGTTCAACTTATACAGATGGTCACGGCATTGTGTGGCAAGAGCTCAGAGAGAAAAAACTTGCTCAACCTGCAACTCACCCAGAAATTCACACGAAAACCTTCCATCCCTTGAAATTGGGAAATTCAGCATTTTACTGTGAAGAAAATAGGACTGAAACATGCGCATAGGTAAACATTGCCAATATTGTTTGACGATATGACTCTTTTCCTCTGAAAATTGCCAGCAGCTTCCTTCCCACCCAAAATACGAATCCGGGCCATTGCAAGTGTCACATTACGTGAGTCAGTTGGCAGCCGCGTGTCAGTCATGTGACCCAGGGGGCAGCCCCACGCCAGTCACGTGACCTGCAGCTGCACTGAGAGTAGCTCTCGTCGTCCCCTGTGCCTGTGTTCCAGTTCAACGTGCAGCAGATGACGCTGGAGGAGCTAAAGCAGGTGATCTTCAGCGCGTTCCGCGAGCAGGTGACGATGAAGGACATCGAGACAATCATCATGAACGAGGAGGGGAGCAACATGGAGAACTCGGAGAACTACTGTGCACAGGTGGATGGTACGTTGGCCGGAGGGGATTGTTATGATTTCATTCACTCCTCGGGTGGATCTGGTTATCTGACGGTGGTGACAGCTAAAACAAAAAAAGCCTGCCCTAATCTTTTAAAATAAAGTTTGTAGTATCTGCATCATTGCATCAGACAGAGCAATTTTCATTTGGAACTGCGGCTAGAAGTGTATTATTGCCCTGTGTTAGAGATCGGCCCTGGAATATTACATCTACTTTTGGAGTCACATCAACAAGCCGCTTTTATAATGCCCTCCACACATTCTCATGCCCTGCATGTCAATCAACTAAAAGTCTCAAATTGCCCGAACAAAAAAGAACATGTATTGTGATGATTTTTTTGTGTATTTATTGGTGACTTGGGCTGAGATCACGACGATGGACCGCTACGCTTTTAACCATTCATGGATGGCTCTGCTCGTATTCAAACCCAGGCAGGATGTCAGCCAGAGTCCGACTCAGTGCTCTGACCCTTGAGCCACGCAACTACATCGCAGCTGCTTATTTTAATGCAGTTGACCTCATTGAGCTACTGAGACGTGGATCCCCTTTATGATTAAACTTCAGGAGGGAACGCTTATTAGAACTGTTGGTACTTTGAGCACTTGACACGGTAACAAGATGGGGCATGCCAACGTTTTGTTTTAACAGGTGAGATGTTTCGACTGCAAGCAAAGGAGATTATCAGCCATCGTCAGTCTAAATGTCCCCCAACATCATGGAGGGGTTTAAGTCGGTGGAGAATCCATCAAGGGATAATGGTAGGAACGAGGTGGACAGTTAATGTCAACACGTCCCAATTTCCAATCTGACTCAAGGAGCAGTCCATTCCAGATGCTGGTCAGCAGACAGCATTCACACTACTCAGGTGTGTGGAGGTGTGATACAGGGGTGTGGAATGAGAGCCAGAGTTTGTTGTATTTACCAGCACATTGTGTGTGTGTGTGTGCGCACGCTTGTGGATATACGTGTGCGGCCGTGCGTGCCATCATCCAAAATGCAGGCATAGAAGATGAGACACGTCGTGCCATCCCGTTCGAGAGAAAAAAATATATATTTTGTTGCAACGTTGCTGTTGGAGTCTCTCACACTCCGCCTTTTTGTGTTTTGCCTGCCGAATACAGAACCTTTTGAACCAAACGCCGACCGTTAGACACCTGGTCAAATCCCGTGTTAGCATCGACTTAGCCCTAGAGTGATGTTCGTTTTGAGTTTGCAGAAAGAGAATTGGGACGAGGTCTCCTGGAGTAAAGTGTGGAACCCCTGACAATGAAAGAGTGTGCGCACTTTCCCTAGGGCTGTGAGCGCTACTCTAAGTGGCCTTATAATGCAGCATAATTCCGCGTCTTCTTGGCGTGTGTGATCCCTGAGATGGGAACGGCTAAGTAGAGGCCTGGTGAGTGCTGGTGGTGGGCTGTGGTGAAGGAAAATTTGTCTCCTTCAGTTATAGAAAAGGTTACAAAGTTTGAGATTGTTTTTCCTTTGAGATTTCTTTCCCACTGGGCTCAGTGGGGCGGGGGGGGGGGGCGGGGGGGTTCGTCTTTTTCCCCATCTGGGTCATGGCTCAGTCAATGCACCACGTGCAGACTCTGCTCACAGCCAGGGTTGCTCACTTCACACATTTGTACAGTGCGTGATGTTAAATAACACTTTACGGCGCTTTGTCAATACACTGCTGGATGAAGGCCTGCCCACGCCCAGGGCCGTATTTTCCAATAGGCCACAGTCGGCACTGAGCCTAGGGCCTACGAAAACAAAACAAAAAATGTGACCGTGTTTTTTTGTTGAATAAATAATTTTTCTACATGGCAAAGGCTAAGCACAGTATATATATACAAAGAGGCAGGGTCATGTCAATCTTTTTTTTTCATAAGGTGAGATAAATTAACACCGGAGATGAGCTCTTGGAGATGTTTTTCATTGCAAAAGTAGCAAATAACATCTTCAAATTGTGTTTTTCGCACAATCTCATGCACAATAGAGTGTAGTAGTGCAAGGGAAGACACGTGTTATCACTGAAGTTATCACTGAAGGTCTACGAAACAGAAGTGCCTAGGGCTTCCAAGAACCTTCATCCAGCCCTGCCCACGCCATGTCAGTTGTGCAAGTTGTTTGGCCATACTTCACCACGCTTATCGGTGCGGGCTGGTGAACAGGGTTGAAGGATGGATTCAGATATTACTAGCTGCTGGCGTTAGCCTTGATCAGGAATTGAACAGAGTTGTTATGTTTTTATTTAAAGCTTTCGTGACTGCAGGGATTCATATTCTTGGTTATTTCGGTAAAGTCACGTAGAAGGGAAACAATAAAATGATATTGTTTCCCTTCTACGTGACTTTACCGAAATAACCAAGAATAAGAGTTGTTATGGGTTCGTGTGACAGGGCAGGAAGCAATGCACAACCACTGCTTCCCAATGTCTAATATGAAGATGGAATTTACCAGACCTGGATTATTGTTATATATTACAAAGATCAGTAAACCAATACTTGGCATCAGTGCAAAAGCAACATAGGAATGCTTCCATTACATGTCCTGCGTACGAGGGTATAATAATTGATAATTTAATTGACTAATATAATTTCTAAGCTAACAATACATGCATAATTTTGCATGTGTAAGAATACATATTCTTCAGTTTATAACCATTGCATGTTATGGGGTCACAATACTCCATCAGCCACGAGTGGCCACTCATTCACCACAAGGGCGCCACGGTGGCTAGGAGATGTTAACTACCTCGCTAGGTATGCAGGAGGTCGTGGGTTCGATCCCGACTCTGACGCCTGCTGCTGTATATTTGGAGTTTGTATGTTCCCCCTGTGGTCACGTGGATTTTTCTCCAAGTCCTCCAGTTTTTTTCCCCTTCCACATTTAGAAACGTGTTTAGATTATTTGGCAGATATAAATGTCCACGTGATAAGTCACTTCGTTGAGCTCTCATTTGGGGCTAAATGACAGCTGAAAAAGAGCTTATCTGCTGAGTGGGCCTTACCTGGTAAAATAAAAAAATATAGTTTAAATTTGAAAAACGAAATCAATTCTTGAATCGAATTGTGACCCTGAATCCCTTGGAGGAGGGCTTGATGAACCTTGAAACCCCGACTGTGTAACACAAATACACAAGGATGTGGCGGCACTCTGTGATGAGCTGCTGAAATACAAGCCACGGCATCACATCACATCCAGTCGTATAAAAGTGAGTGATCGCATTTTTTTGGAAAAAAAAATTGTTCGTGCACGCCATTGAAATGCACGATAAACTCTGCTCATCAAAACGCTACCACGGAGAAAATGTATTGGCCGAGACCGTGCCAATGGACATGTGTTACGTGAAGATGAATATAAAAATGTACACTCGGGCAACGCTTGGAAAATAATACCGAAGCAGTAGACGTTTCGCCTTTCTCGAGACACATTTGAGCTACATTATTAGTGAGCACTCTAACTTTGCAATTGTTTTTTTGTTAAGTTCATAAACAGTTACGTTGAATATTCTTGGTTCTTTCGGTAAAGTCACGTAGAAGGGAAACAATAAAATAATTACAACTCTGACTGGAAATCACGCTTCGGCTGAATTTGGTTTGATAGAAAATTATACATGTAGCGACTTGCACGAGGAGTGGTGAATGAGACATATATTTCGAAAGAAATTTGGGTCCTGTGGGTCCAGAAAATGTACCCGTTGTGGAATGGTCATCACTATTGCACGATAACTATGGGTGCAGTATATCACAAAACGTAGAGAGACCCTGCTCTAAAATTTATTCGAGAAAAAAAATTGCTCCCACCAAAAAAGTAGTCATATTTTTGTAAATATTAATTAAGTCAGTGTATAGTATTGCTTTCCCAAACTTGACCTTGAAAATGTGTATTAGATTATGTTGTTGTTGTATGAATGATTACCAGGATATAGTACCCTCTTCAAATATTTAACGTGTTCTGTGCATCGATAGTAAAGAGTGCCACTGACATTCAAATCGTTCGTGGGGCCTCCGATTGTAAATAATTGTTCCGGTGTGAACCATAATATATTCATAAACTCATTATTTAGAGGCTGAGAAACTGATTTCTAGCAGTGAAGCGAGGGTAGATATTGAGCTCTCTACGATCCGACCGAATGAATAGCTCACAGAACAGGCAATGCCTCATTATTTAGACATCACTGCTCAAATTAACGACAGCTGCAATGTGAGCGATAACAGCAATACATTATGGATGCACTTGACCCGACTTTATGATTTGCCCGAGTGCTGAACGTGCTGTCCCGTCTTAGAGAATTGCAGAGTCCAGCTGTGCTCCAGAACTGGATTAGAATGATGGGCAGAGAGAAGGGGATTTCATCTGCTACTCCGCGCGGCGGAATCGCCTGCCAGGAAGAGGCTGTCCCACCTGTAAACCCGCCCTGGATCGCACCAGCAGGGTGCAGTGCTAACACTTTATCTCTCTGATGTTTTGCTAATACTAATTTAGTACATATGGCGGTCACGCCATGCTTATATCAAACGAAGGTGCTATGCCTCACCGACAGTCTGTGGTAGTTTTACAGGCGGGTGGCGGGGGGGGGGGGGCGATATTGCTGTAAGTAAAATCCCAACTGAGTAATTTGTGGGTGATTTACTTTTTTCTAAAATTGGAACATTTGGACCCGTGACCATGGCACACGATGGGCCCACTCTTTTGAAATGACGTCACGGGAGCTCTCACGATCACTGTTAAGCAGGTGGCGCGGATACACCAGGGTGGCCTGCCGGAAACGAACTGCAGGCATCAACAGCAAGGGACGAAGGCGCCGTCGCTTGTTGTCCTTCTCCCACACCGCCGATTAGCACGCTTGGCTCCGTACGGTGCGGAAGAAGTTCAATATATGGTGACGTACATGTGACGTGCTTTTGGGTTCTTCAGCGCGGTGTCCAAACGTTTTCACTCCCCGTTGCTGGGAGCTTCTCCGGGAACGGAATTCCACTTGAACAAGCTCCGAGCACGTGGAA